GGCGAGGAGGGCGGCAACGAGAGCGGCTGGAAGGGTAAAGCCGGCGAGGTCGCGGGGTCAGGAGCGGAAGCGGGGAGGCGGAGGCGGGCGAGGCCATTAGGCGCGCGCCGGGCAGAACGAAGGTCGAGCGAAGGGCGGCGATGGAGCCGCGGCAGGGGTGACGCAAGCGGCGCTAATGCAGTGGTAGTGCGCACGAAACTCCCCTTGAATTGCGTTACTTAGCGCGTTTAATTAATAACGCCGCCGCAAAGTATCGCGTTTCTGGCACTGAACGCAGAGGCGGTATAAGGACCAGTGCCAAAGCAGCACACGCCTCGTGTGAAAGAAGAGATAGGCCGAAGATATTTACTGGCTCGACATAGCAATAGTGATTGTGCTGCTGCTGAAACTTTAATCATTAGGTGTGTTCAAATGTTAAATAATATTCAATTAAATATAATGTGTATGTATATTTATAAATGTGTTCGTAGCGTTTGATTGCATAATTTCTAATTAATATTTATTTGTATCTATGAACTATGAATTTAACTGTACTCATTAATTGTAAGATCGATAAGAATTTAAATACTTGAAGTGCTTTGCTCCATCTTTCGTATAATTGCAAATAGCTATTAAAAATAATCTTTGGAGGTGGTTTGTAATAACGGAAAAGGGCATTTCCTGTAGTTTCAAAAGCATATTAGATATGAAAATCAATACTAGTCAAACGATGAATAACTAGTGTTACCTCGTACGGGCAGACACACAGGCCTCGCGGAGTTAATCTAAGGTGCTCAAGCGCAAGGATTTGACTAATTGGATAAATAGGGGCGTGTCGCACCCAAACGTTCCTGATGCCCATGCAGTGCCTCTGAGCGGGAGGTCCTTGGTTCGAGTCCCGACCGTGGCAGGATTTTCCGCATTAGGTAGATAGCTATGTCGAGTTCTGTCGCTGTCTGGAGGAGAGAAGTGTCCCGACTGTTGAACATCTCGTGGGCTACTGGAATGGTATTACTCGCGCAACTTTTCTTGAACGATGACCTTGATCCCCCTCCCTT